CACTTTATAGCCGAGAGAACACACATTATTTACGTATTATTCATTTATTCATAATTAATTACAACATATGTTTGAAGACATAAATACAAAAAAGACATTTAACACTAATTATGTGGAATTGTTTCCCGAATTGTTGCCCGAATCTGATCCCGAGTCGGGCGGGCGAGTGATGAAAGCGTTTACTTCGTATACGTTATTAATGATTAGAGACAACTCAGCGATGGCCAGCTTCTCGGGCGCAGACATACTTCCACTCTTTGCGGCCGAACGACACTTTCTCAACACTACTTCCAATCGGTGGACGAACTCTTCGTACAGATCAGTCACGTCTGCAAATATAAGCCCAGGGGTCACATCATGTCGACCGCGAGCGGCCAAAAAAGCCACTAATCCTGTATTAAGTGCAGCGATACTCCTATTAATGAAATACAATTAATATTATAATTAACAACAAATGCAAATTATATTACTCTTGATTGAGACCTAATGTCTGACACACGGTGTCCACCAATTGGACGCTATAAGAGGCGAGCGTTTCAATCCAATTCATAAACCTATCCATCGTTTGAGTCGATGTCTGCCAACTGTTTCTAATAGCTCTCATCAACAGCTGATTACCACAAACTCTACGCCTATCTCTGCGCTCAATACTAACACCACTACTAATGCAATGCATTGTATGACTCGTATTGTTAGACATTTTCACCATTAATTGGACACTAAATTAGTTCAACACTTATTATCAGATCAAACACTCAATGTTTACGATCAAATAATTCCCCAAATCTGAATCGACGTCCGTAAAGTATGTTTATAATTAGCGCCAACAAGTTATTTTCCCCTAGTTATGAGTTTTAATAGTACAGAGAGATTAAAATATACGAGACATACCTGGGCGCTGACATTATGATAACATGTGTGAGTTGCTGAGCAACACAATACAACTTTTGTTGAAAACCGTTGAAGACAGCAAAAGTTGTATTGTGTTGCTCAGCAACGCACACATGTTATCAACATTATGATAACATGTGTGAGTTGCTGAGCAACACAATACAACTTTTGTTGAAAACCGTTGAAGACAGCAAAAGTTGTATTGTGTTGCTCAGCAACTCACACATGTTATCATAATGTCAGCGCCCAGGTATGTCTCGTATATTTTAATCACTCTGTATAGTCAATGAACAAATTAATACTTTACCAGAAAAAACGTCATATTGATTTAAATGTTTATTTAATACATTGTATATTAAATGCAGTAATAAATTAATAAAACAGTAATAATAATAATAATTATCATTTATTTATTTAACAATAATATATTTTATGTTTATAAGTAAATAAAATACTATTAAAACTCATAACTAGGGGAAAATAACTTGTTGGCGCTAATTATAAACATACTTTACGGACGTCGATTCAGATTTGGGGAATTATTTGTTTACGATTATCAACAATGAGTTCACAAACAACGTTACCATTCAGTGCTGGGGAGGAGTGGAGGGGCAGACAAGTGGTTCATCAATAACGTCAAACTCATTGTTGTTGTTGTAGTTGTGATACAATCGTTGACCGAATGGCCAGAAATGCCACAAAACGCCGACACTCTGGCGACCAGTCTATAGATACCGATCGTAATCATGAGTTAGTGATGGACTCGACCGGTGGTGACAGCTCTGGTCCGGCGGCGGACGTGCGCTCGCGTTTGTGTCCCTACTTAGACACCATCAACAGAGGTGTCCTCGACTTCGACTTCGAGAAACTCTGTTCCGTCTCTTTGTCTCAAATCAATTGTTACGCGTGTCTCGTCTGCGGGAAGTACTTCCAGGGTATGTGTGTCTTAGTGGCCACACATTGACACTGTAATGACCCGTACTATCTGTCTCATAGGTCGTGGTATCGGAACTCACGCTTACATGCATTCGGTGTCTGTCGGACATCACGTGTTTCTCAACTTGGATTCGTTGCGCTTCTATTGTCTGCCCGATAACTACCAGATAATGGACTCATCGCTGGACGACATCACTTACGTATTGAACCCCACGTTTACCACTCAAGACATCGCCGCTCTGGACACCGGCGCCCACCGGCCGTCCATCGCGTTCGACGGGACGGCATA